AAGTACCTGCATGTCATAAGCATTTGAATTAAAATTACCATATTGAAATCAAATCTGATGTTTTTTAATTTTTTTTGGTGTGCGTTGGAAGAGGGGTAGTCTTATACGGCGAGTATATCCCAAACTCTATATTTTAACTGGAAAAGTTGGGGGTCGTCTTATACGCCCAGTCGTCTTATACGCCGGAAAATACGGTAGTTATTCACAAGGAAAGTAAAAAGCAGACCCTGGATAATGCAGGACATGTGAAGCCACTTAGGGCTTGTCTACACTGGCACTTTACAGCGCCGTAAAGTCCCAGCATTGGCAGCCATGCTCCCAGCCCTGGCAGCTATTCCCCTCATGGAGGTGGTTTTTTTTTTTTTTAAGAGCACTGGGAGAGCTCTCTCCCAGCGCTATGCCGCGACTACACAAGCCATGTTAAAGCGCTGCCGCAACTATTTTGTTTCACCAGACTGCCGCTTGCTACACTAAGTCTTTTGAACATGATCAGGTTTCGGTAAGGAAACCTATCCCTCCCCAACAAGTCATGAAAACAGATGTCAGATGGACATGCTGCAGGAATGCAGATTTTTACACAAACTACATTCCAATTACTATAATGAAGTGACTTGAGAAGTGAGGTTTTTTACCCACAAAAGCTTATGCCCAAATAAATCTGTTAGTCTTTAAAGTGCCACTGGACTCCTTGTAGTTTTAACAGAATACAACTAATTTCCTTTCAATCAGTCTATACCTTTTATCAATCCAAACATGTTTCAGAACCTAACCAGTAAAATTCTCTTCATTTTAGTTAGGGGATTTTAGTATTTTTGTGTTTGCTTTTTTAATTAACAGTAATATTCTCCATGGGAGCCTGTGCAATCAATGTTTCAGGGTTTCAGTGGCCATTCAAGAGTTTTTGTACCATACAAGATAGAAGTCAGACTACAAAAAGCTCTATATGTTCCCATTTAACAAATACCACACACACACACACCCCGAGAACATTCTCACAGTGATGTATATTTAAACTTTGATTCTTCAAGATTTCAGTACCATAAAAAGTGCTGAATGTGCAACTAGTCACCACAGTGTTGTTAATGTCGTTTCCAAAATCTGCTGAGTTTATATTGAAACACAAACCATTGCTTTGCTGTTATCTCTTCAAAGTCGGCAGCTTGCTTTTTGCCCCCTAGAGTTTTGTTTTTAAAGTAATCAGCAAATCAGACTAAAGCAGGGGTAGGGAGGGTATATCAATTTTGCTTTCTAATGGGATAGGAAATAGCATGTACCACATGAGTAGGTACACCACAGCTCTGACACCACTGAAACTGCAATATGAAAAGTGACACAATACCTGCTTCCTGATAGCCAAAGAAGGTTTTCATCCTCTCCTGAAGGAGTTTCAGTTTCAGATTCCTGGCTCCTCTTTCCTATCCTTGGACGTTTTAAATGACTGCTTCGTGTTCGAGTGGAAACTGGCGTAACATCAAGCTCTTAAAGATACAAAAAATGAATGTAAATGAAAGAATACACATACCTAATGGATCTGCAGATTGTAAGAGAATAACTAGTATTTTTCATAAAAGTAGGCATATGCAGGGCCTAAGTGAAAAAGCATTTCATTATGGGATTTTTTTAAAACAGACCAAAATAAATTTACAATACTAGCATTCATCCAAGGATCTTAAAGTACTTTACAAACATCATTTAGGCCTCAAAACACTTCTAAAAGAGGCATTCGAATTTTATCCATTTTGCAGATGACTAAATCAAGGCACAGAGAAGTTAAAAGTAATGGTGAAAATGGGCCATTACCCTACTAAAATTTAAGAACCATAATATTGATGTTCAACATTATTTTTACCTTCAGAAGTGCTTGCCTGGGCATCTAAGATGTCTTTGCCTTTTTGAGAATCAACCTAAAGCAGAAAAACATACTGTACTTTAAAAGTCTGAACCACTGGAGATTCTATTCTCCTGATTGAAATGCCTTCATCTCCTAACCCCAGTTACATTCTGGAATATTAATTTAAAGTCACTCTTTGGGAGACTGACTACATTCAGATGAAGGAGTAAGTGGAAAAACGGTATCTTCTCAATAAAGAGATCGGCTCACTGGGTGAATTTAGAATCAGATCTACTCTCTTAGTGACTAATACACATTCTTACTATCCCAAAACATCTAGTTTGGGATTATTAAAAGAAAAATCAACCAAATTAATAATTTTTTATTACTGGTGATGATGTGGCAAGCTGGGTAAAACAGAGCTTCAGCCTTAGATTCTAGGTGTAGGCTGCAGAGCCAGCGGGTAGATGAGTCGTCTTTTTATTCATGACCAAACTAGATCTGCAGTCATTGAGAGACAAGCATCCAACCCCACAAATCTATTTTTACAATAATTTCTCAGAGTATAAGCTTCTTGTTTTAAAAACAGACCTATGATTAATTGCCCTAGATTAGCTACTTTAGGTAAACTAGCACTAAAAAGAGGCCATGTCCACCTGCTCTGCTGCAATTCCAACCCAACCCCAAAGACCTCTGCTGCAAGACCCAATGGGTTGCAATGAGTTCTGTAATACATTGATATTTGAGATAACATTAATTAAATTTAAATAGAGGGGTTTGTTTAATTATATATTCGTGTTACAATCACTTCAGTATTCCTTGTATTTTTATAGACAAAAATAACATAATACACAGGTATATGTGGGAATCGTTTTCCACATTAATATTTTACACTACTCTTAAGTCTTCAGAATTTTGTACTGATAATGCAGTCATCAGGGAGAAAGCCAGTTCTAGTATTTTAGAAAGGATTCTGGGATTTGGGATTCTGGCCTCCAGAAAGTATTTTAGGCTTTTGACATTGGATGCATTTCTTTTTTCCCCTCCAACTTTTGGACAGGGGCACAGGTGACTTGACTTTTTTGATAGGGCTTGAATTTCTAATTCACCACCACAGCAAGCCTTAACAGCAATTAAATGGCCCACTGCTCCTTCCCCCATAATACGTGACTGCAGCCAACAACCTTATATAAGTGCATTAATCAGTTGTTTCTGCTAAAATGATTACCAGTAGAGATGACATTTAAATAATCATAATCAAGTTTCAGAGTTAGAAACTTACTGTTATGAATGACAGCTCTCAGAGTTATTGTTTCATGCTTGTTTACAAACTCAAGAAGAAAACATTATATCTGTTTGCATTCAGTTTATCTTTGGGAGGTAACCTTCTCAACCATGCTAGACACTTACATTTTACTTTGAATACAAAGTTTAGATTTCAGTAGCTAGATTTTGTGTCTAAGGCACCAGTCTTGCATAATTAAAGTTACTCCCAAGTGCATTCTGACTGGCTTGTACAATGCAAATTAATACCTCATTAACATTCACCAGTATTCACTGTATGCAAGCATCTTTATCTTGCAGAATTTTCCATCTCTTAACAACTGCATAATAGTCAACAAACAAAAATATTCAATTGCATATCCATATGCGGGTGAAATTTAGCTGAGGTTTCAAATATGCACAAAGAAACTCGCATTCCTTCTGCGGGGGAACTGAATAAACCTGAATGCAGGCTGTACACTTTACATCATGTTCATCTACAATGCGATTATGCCCTTTCATAGACACGATCTTCTTAGACTGATGCATTTGATGCTTCCATCTGATGCCAGAGAAATGCAGCCTTTGCACTATTTGTGTCTACAGTGCTTCAAAGTGTCATAGTCTGGATATTCACACATCCCAAGACTGCAGGGTGCGGGAGGAAAGCAATTGAAATACCCTCCTCCCCCAAACCTATAACAATCTACCAGTGCAAGTTACTAGACACTACTAAGGCTATCTCATACCCTATCCTATATCATACAAAGAGAGCACTGGTTGAAAAAAATGATAGTACAAGATGCATCCTAGTATTCTATTAATACTAGGTGAATTTGTAATGTCTAAGCAACAAGCCGGTGCTGCTTCGCTGGAAAAAAGGTAACATTAACCCAAGTGTAACAAAAGCATGTGTCTTTCATAGCTCCTGACACCCATGTCAATTTAGTTCAACTACAACAAAATTTCACAATAAGTATGTTTCTGGCCTTCTCATTGAAGCCACAACTATGTCTTCAAGGGTAATCTGATAAAAAGTTATGGGTTTTGAGGGACTGGATGGTTCAAAAGAAAGGCTATAGTCCAGGCTCAGAGAACACGGAAGAGATACTGGAAGTTCAAGCTGGATTCCTGAAAGGACTTACTGAGGGAGAGGAGCACAGGAAAATGGGGGATAAAGCAGGAGTACTGAACAAGGAGGGCACACACTATAAAATCCATGAATTTAATAAAAATCAATTTCCTAAGAATCATCTATATTTTTCCCAAAAGTTTATCCAGTATCCCTAATTAGAAGTTTGCTCTCTAATTAGAAGTTTAAAAATGGATTATTAAAAAATATATAACTTCCTATATGGAGACCCATCTCTTTCTCTTCAGTAAAAGATTTTACAGAACAAGTAATTAAGGAAACCAGAGGACTATGAAGATATAAATTATACAATTCTGTAAAATCTCTTGGTTTTTATGTATACAGAAAACAGTGTGTGTACCTACCCTTAGCTGCGTTTCAATCTCTGTACTTTGTTCGCTCCCCGTTTCAGATTCCATGGCAGATGGCAGAAAACACTCCTCAGTCTGGGAACTGTTGTTTTCTTTTTGAGAGGCTCCTGCTCTTAGAAAAATTCAACAGAAAAAAAGTGCAGATACAATTTAAATAATGAAGTTAGCTGGTGTCTTTCCAATGACTTCTGTGGGGATTGTTCACAATGGGGACTGTCTACAAAAATTACCTGTAGTTTTGAGTGTTTCTCTCTGCAATACACTGGTAATAGGTGTTCTCTGGAACCAGTGTCCTGCTCCTTCAACTTCCCATAGAAGATCATGATCCCCTGGGTACTTTTCAAAATATTGCTTACAAGCTGAAGAGACATAAATAAAACAAAATCACACCACACAGTATGCACATCTGTAACTCAGCTTAAGAAATTATTCAAACACTATCCTATTGAGTCAATTATAATCTGACCTTCTACTTTATCATACTTATAATACATCACAAACAAAAAGGAACTGAGCCACCAAGATATGCACATGTCTAACCTGAGTAACTATGTGATAACATTTCTGTAATCCTCATCCATCTAGAACTCAGTCCCGTCCTTTTATTTATCACCTTCCATCATTGTACTATGTCTTAAATTTAGATTGTAAGATTAAGGGGGCAGGGACTGCAGGTTTTTTTCCTTGTCTTCTAGGAAGCATTTCTGGGTATTACAAAATAGTTACAGTAACTCCTTGCTTAACCTTGTAGTTGTGTTCCTGAAAAATGCTACTTTAAGCAAAACGCTGTTAAGCGAATCCAATTTCCCCATAAGAATTCATGTAAATAGCGGGGCTTAGGTTTCAGGGAAATTTTTTTTGCCAGACAAAAGACTAATATATATACACACACACACACACATACACAGTATAAGTTTTAAACAAACAATTTAATACTGTACACAGCAATGATGATTGTGAAGCTTGGTTGAGGTGGTGGAGTCAGAGGGTGGGATATTTCCCAAAGAATGCCTTACTGCTAAATGATGAACTGACACTCAGCTGAGCCCTCAAGGGTTAACACATTGTTGTTAATGTAGCCTCACACTCTACAAAGCAGCATGAATGGAGGGACGAGACAGCATGGCAGTGAGAGACAGAGACACACACCGTGAGTGTAAGTGTGCAAGAGACGCACATTTCTCCTTTAAGTACACTGACCCCACTCTAAGTACTCTGCAGCTGCTGCCAGCAAGCTACTTCCATCCTGAGCCCTGTTGTGTCGTGTGCCCCCCCCCCCCACTCTGTGGAGATGGGGTACAGGAGCGGGGGGAGAGGGACACCCTGACACTAGCACTTTCACTACAAAGAGATAGCACTACAGTACTTGTATGAGGTAAATTGAAAAATACTATTTCTTTTATCATTTTTACAGTGCAAATATTTGTAATAAACAATATACACTTTGATTTAAATTACAACACAGAATACTATATGAAAATGTAGAAAAACATCCAAAATATTTAATAAATTTCAATTGGTATTCTATCGTTTAATAGTGTGATTAAAACTGCGATTAATCGTGATTAATTTTTTTTTAGTTAATCACATGAGTTAACTGCGATTAATCGACAGCCAAAGATATAATACTAACCGACAGACATTCAAGGTTTACAAGAAAATAAAGCAGCATGCACATTCTCCATCTGACTTTTTAAGGTTCATTGAATAGCAGCATATTTTATATTTATTTAAAGTTTGTCATGAACTTTAAGAAACGTAATCTCTTCCTTCCATGTTGAACTGAGATGGAAGTATTTATTTGGAAGTTTAAAGAAAGCCAGAGTGGAGAAGACAGGAAAAAAATTACAGCATTTACCTGTATATATGAAAGATGACAGTGGGTAGCGAAGACCAAGTGTGTCTTCAGTAAAGGAATCCACAAAATCCTCCAACATCATTAACCCAAAATCTTTCCCACGATGTCTCTTTCTCACAAACATTGTGTCCAGCACTGGAAGCTGATAGCTTTGGGTAAGATAGGAGCTACATACGCTTCCTGAAATCATGGAAAAACCATACATCAGTATTTCATCATTGATTTGTCATAGTTTTAGATCATCAACAACACATAATGGCTTGGCTTTTACTGTATCCTGATGATAATAGATGTACTGTACACATAGTAGCAACATTCAGCCACTCACTGGCTTGTTGGGCCAACTTTGTATTTTTGCAGCTTTACAGCAGGCAATACAACGTAAGAAAGCTTGTCTGGTATAGTGCCTACTGCTACACGATAAAGAATGGAAGGCTACAAAGGAGAAGGTAGTGGGGGAAAAGGCACATTTTTGAATCCTGCTGAGTTATTTCTTGAGGAAATCTGGAAAAGAGAATGAAATGAAAAGATGGAAGAAAAAGCCAAAAGGCTCAATCCAAATAAATTGTTTTTACATAGATTAAAAAACTGTTTAAAAACAAACCCATAAGTATGGAAGTCAGCTCTCATTTAAGAACTGAAACACAAATCATCACCCCCCCCCCAATTTTTTATGAAACATCAATAATGCTGAAGTCAAGGCAAAATTTTGTAAGAAGGGATTTTTCCATTCATAGCATAGCATGGATTACACATAATTATAATTAAGAACAGGTGCACTGTGACACAATATAACAATTTTAGTATTGAAAAATTCTTGAAGAGTAACCATGAACTCACTGTTATCAGAGTAATAAATGTTATTTATTTGGATTTGTATTACAGTGGTAAATACTGGTCCCAAGGCAGGACTGGAACTCCATGGTGCTAGGCCCTGAGTACACACAGAAAAGATTGTCCCTACCCTAAAGAGTAATCCAAGTAAAATAATAATACAAATCTCATATATAGCACTCGTCACAGACATTAATTAATTAGTCCTCACAATACTTTTGTGAGGTCAGTTGCTTTTCTCATTTGCAAAGCAAGAAAAACTCAGTCAAGAGAGATTAAGTTATTTGTCTAAGGTTATACAGTGAGTCCACATCAGAGATGAAATTAGAAAAACAGGAGTAAGTCCCAGTCCTGTGGTCTGACCACTGGACTACATCTCAGTCTATCGCCACAGAAAGAGAAAAAAAAAAACATGAAGTAGAATAGTATTTCATATTCAAATAGTCTTGGATGTTTATTAGCTCAGGATTAGTAAATGGTAGAATAACATGAAAAGTAATTGTAGTTGCATGATCTAATTGCCACAATGTATATGGAACAAATATTTATTATAAACACTCCTCCATCACTCAGAATCTAATAAAATCGGTTGTATAGAAACTAGAATAAAGTATTAACATTTCAACCCAGAAGTCATTTTCGTGATCATTGTGTTGGCTTAACTTTTAGCTTGAAAATTGCTCTATTAGGACCTGAGCAGTTTCATAGATACGTGCACAAAGGCATAATATTGATAAACAGAACAAAGACATGCCATCTGCCAATTACCTTCCCCACAGGAATTGCCATACTGGAACAGATCAATGGCCCATCTGGCCCAATATCATGTTTCTGACCGTGGACAAGGCCAGATGCTTCAGAGGAAAGCATAAAACCCTTCTGGTGCACTTAGCTGTACAACAGTTGCAATTCACCACGAATTTCCCTGACGTTAATCCAAAAACCTTCTACTGGGACTAGGATAAAGTTAGGATGTTAGATTATACCACTTTGGCCCAAAATTAGATATTCTATTATTTAAGGAGGGCTGTCAGCGTGATCAACAAATTATTTACAATTAAGTTAGATTTAATTCAGCAAAAGTTGAAAAATGAAATCAAGTTTTGTAACAATCAGAGAACTTATAATGTATATTTAAGCAATGAGAAAAAATGAGAGCACTATCTATAAAGCAATGTTAATGACATAGAAACATGCTACTTAAATTGTAAGCCCCTTGGATCAATCATTTTGTTCTGTGTTTGTACAGCGCCTAGCACAGTGGGGTCATGGTCTGTGACTGGGGTCCTAGGCACTAGCACAATACACACAAATAAGGAACAGCAATAATGAGACCTGACCCTGCAGCCACCCTGAGATCAACTGGAGTTCTGCATACGGGAATTGCAGGATCAGACCCTAAATGTGCACAATACAGCATTAATGTTTGCAACTTCCACAATCTGGGTGAATTTCACCCTCACCAGATTGATCTGACCATATCCAAATTATATTAAACTGTGCACAAAATATCATCCCCTATGACCCACATATATGTCTTTATGCAGCACTACTGTACATCTTCAGTATTAGAAGGGTACTGGACAAGATTTCTGCCTCTTGAGTTATGGGGATATAAGAAGAAGCTAATTACCTTTGTAACTGGAGGTTCTTCAAGTCATGTGGTCCCTATCTGTATTCTACTGTGAGGTACGCATGTGCTCTATGCACCCAGAGATGGAGAATTCTGAAAGCAGTGCCTGTCGGTCTGGCATGTACCTTCACTCTCCTCATGTCTCCAACCAAAGAGATTGGAGTGGGGCAGACCGATTGCCTCTCCAGTTTCTTCTCTGCCATGAATCAAAAGATGATTCGAAGCAGCGGGGAAGGAGGGCGGGTAATGGAATACAGATCGGGACCAAATATCTTGAAGGACCTCTAGTTACGAAGGTAAGTAACTTCCTCTTTGAATACTGGTCCCTATATGTATTCCAATTTGGGTGAGTGCAAACAGTACTCAAGTAGGAGGAGGGTGCAAGGATACAGATTGCAGAGCAGAAGCAAGGACTGCCATTCCAAAAGAATTATCGGCAGAGGAGTCTTGTACTAAACATAATGCCTCACAAATGTGTTGATGGAACGCCACATAGCTGCTTTGCAAATATCATGTAGAGGTTCTTCTTGAAGCGATGCCATAGATGTCACTTGCGCTCTTGTGGAATGAACCCTCACCCCAGGAGTGAGAGGGAGAGAGAACAAAATACAGCCTGAGATATATTTCAAGATTCTTTGAGAGGTTATAGCTTGACCTTGAACACTTTCTGGTACGGTGACAGACAGCTTGGGAGATTTCTGTTTGGGCTCTCGAGATATCGAGTGCCTTGTGCTGTGTGGTTGCCAATATGAGCTGCCTAATCTAACAAGGAGGTTGTGACGTTATTGACATGAACTGTGACCACATAGATCATTGCAACAACCAAGGTCCTATAGTTGCACCAAATCTTGTACAAAGTAGGTCAAGTAAGGTACCTATGGAAAGGCTGTAATTTGCTGGTTATGATTATGCTGTGTATGTGTGTGTATCATTTTTGTATTTGAAGTTATAAATATTGGCTATGTACTTGTATCTCAATGTATTTGATTCTAAGTAGCATCAGTGAAGCATTTGGTCAGCTTCTTGAGAAAGGACTATTCTCGGTAAGTGCCCAATGAAGAAACACTTAACTGACAATGGACTTTGGGAGACACCAATTCACATCTGAGCTTTCCTGGGAACATTCAAACTAACATGTAAACAATGGCGTCGGCCTGCAAAAAACTGAATCATTCATGGACATATGACTTGCCCAGGTGGCTACAAACTCCATCTTGTTGCTGTGATTTTGCACAGAAGAACAAAGGGGTTTCTGCCAAGGCCCTGGAAACCCCTCCATTTTGTCTTCAGCTGGCTCAAGAGATGGCCTCTCCACCCCAAAAAGAGGCCTGAAAGAAACTGGGACAAAGGACTATAACTAAGGGGATGTGAGTGATTGCTGGACCCAGGCCATAAGCCACAACGTTGGTCTGAAAAGGATTAGGCCCAGACTAGGAAGGAGTCTAGTCTGTGAAAGAAGCTTATTGGGACATCTCTGAGGGTGAGATTTACCTGTATTCAGTTTCCTACTGTATTAGGCTTATACTTGCATGTTTTGTTTTATTTTGCTGGTAAGTTACTTTGTTCTGTGTGTTATTATTTGGAAGTATTTAAATCCTACCTTTTTATATTTAATTAAATCACTTTTGCTTATTAATTAACCCAGAGTAAGTAACTAATTTTTGGGGGAGCAAACTGCTGTGCATCTCTCTCTATCAGTGTTATAGAGGCGGATAATTTATGAGTTTACCCTGTATAAGCTTTATACAAAGTAAAACGGATTCATTCGGGGTTTGGATCCCATTGGGAGCTGGGTGCTGAAGGTAATTGCTGCTGAGTGGTTTTCAGTTAAAGCCTGCAGTTTTGGGGACGTGGTTCAGACCCCGCATCTGTGTTGGAGCATAGTAGACTGTCTGGCTCAACAAGACAGGGCTCTGGAGTCCAAAGCTGGCAGGGAAAATGGGTTTATAGGTAGTTTCAGCACATCAGGTGACAGTCCCAAGGGGGTCTTTGTGACTGAACCCATCACAGAGTTATCTGTAATGATCATCCTGTCCAGTGAGGAGGAAAGGAATGGCATGCCTATGCATTCTTGGCATGGAGTCTTCCACCATAGCAGAAATATTATTAATTTGGTGGGAACAGTTACTAGTGTGTTCATGGCGGATTTGGTGAGCACACTGTTTGAAGCCACGCTTCTAGACCAACTGTCAATGGATGGTACTGTAGACACTATTGTCGCCAAATTGTGGTCTGGTACGGACAGAGCCCTAGATTTGTGGGCTCTCTTGTCATGCCCCTGAAACTTAGGACGTTCTAAATTCTCTGGGATTGAGCTAGAAGACTTACTCAATTTAGGCAGGGTTCTATTCGACTTCTTCTAAGTGGATTTGGAGGAGGATTTACTCTTATATTTATAAAAGTGCTCCCTGTCCTCCTGACAAGACCCCACTAAGAGATCTGTGGGGGTAGACTCCCTCACTCCTGAGTCGGACCCTGTGGCATGAGACACACACCTTATTGAGTCAAGCTGAAGTAGGGAGAGGTCCCCCTGGCCTAGGTATGACTGCAGCCTTAAGGCCTTTTCCATCAGGTACTTCTTAAGACGAAGTTCCCCCCCTTCTTGGGTACAACTGAGGAACAAACAGCAGATACCGCACCTTGCCACAATATGAGTTTCACTGTGACAGTAAAGGCAATGTTGATGGTCATTGCTGACAGAGAAGGTGTGTGTACAGGAAGCAAAAATTTTGAAACCTAGAGTCCTGGGCATAATGGCTACTAAAAAGACTATGGGCAAAATTAAAAAAAATAAATAAAACGTAAGTGATTTCAGAGCCTAAAGTCACTTTTGAAAATTTTACCCAAAACCTTATCTGCCCTAAGAATTCAAGAAAAGGTTCATGTATCAATCACACACATTAGTGCAGCTTAAAAGTTCTGATAAGAGTTTGGTTTTCCATTGCTTTATTTAAAAAATAAATAAATGTTTTTACCTGCAGGTTTAACAGAATAGAACCCAATGGCTTCTCCTTTTTTCCACAGAATCTTAGCATAGTCATTGCTGCTGTGACAGAGGAAGGGGATCTCATTTCGCTCTATTTCTTGTTTGCGATAAATAATTCGATTCAGAACATACAGAACCACCCTCTCTCCAAGAGTCTTCACCTATGGAAACACATAAGTACATTTAAATGTGCAACAGTTAAAAGGCCAACATCAATTTAGTTGAAGCTTAGACGTTAGGGGGCTTATTTTCCGAGGTGCTGACTAGTCACAACTCTAGCTGATGTCAGCAGGAGCTGCAAATGATCAGCATTTCTGAAAGATCAGGCCTAACGTTTTTTGAGCAGTGAGAAGAGCTCAGATGCCATGGTGACAGGCAGTGTATAAAATCAGAGATTAGACAAAATGCATTGCACACCTTAATATTAAAAACGTGTTCTGATGATCTAAAGGCTTTATTTTTGTTTATTAAAATTTAAATGAACACAGTATTTTTGGAATTTAAGAACCATTTGCCAAATACGAGAGCACAGTGTCAATTAGTTTTAGTCTTCCCACGCTAGCAGGAGTTTAGAGTGCTACAAAGAACATGTGCTCAGATCTTCTGGGAAGGCCCACATAACATACGTCTCCATCATTGTTGGATGTAGAGGTATGGCATTCACACAGAAATGTCAGAGTTAGATTTACCTGTGCATTGTCCTTCTCCCTTTAAGGGCTGAAGATCTGCTGAAGGGGTCAAAGGCGATAGCACTGGTTGCAGCAGCAAAGTTTTATTAAACTCCAGTTTGGAACTGGCCTCTGTTATGGGAATGTAACACTTAACAAGCACAGACAGGAGAAGCTGAATGCAGTGATCTGACCTCTTTGAGAGATGACCCTACCTGAAGCTGCTGTAGACTATTCCAGGAAAAGCTGCCAGGGAAGATTTAATTGTTTGCAAGCATTATGGCTGGGAAAGAGTTAGAGGACCTTCACAGGGAGATAGACAAACTTTTATACCAGCCAAAGGATGAGCATTTAAGAGAAGTCTGCGACTCTTTGAGCATTTCTGGGACAAGTTACTGTGAAAATGCAGCAAAAAAACATTTTGCTTAGGGTGACCATACATCCCATTTTGGCAAGCACAGTTCCTTTTTTAAGCCATGTCCTGACCGTCCCGATTTTTTTGCAAAAGTGGGCATTTGTCCCATTTGCTGTTGCCAACTTGATCAGTTGGCAAGAGCAAATGGGACAAATACCCAGTTTTGTCAAAAAAGTGGGGTGCAGAGGAACGTGCAAGAGGGCAAGCAGCGATACAAGCCCCGGGCAGGGAGACAACCAGGGCTCGGGCGAGCAGCGACACCAGCCCCAGCCTCGCGCAAGGGTCAGGCAGGGCTCAGGCAAGCAGCAACGCTGATGTCAACCCCGTGCAGGGAGGGGGGCTCGGGCGAGTGGCTCTGGCGAGCCCCACAAAGGGAGGGGGCTCGGGCGAGCAGCTTGGGCAGGCCCTATGCAGGGAGGGGGGCTCGGGACAGCCTCATGCGGGAGGTGAGAGGAAGGACTCAGGCTAGCCCCAAACCGTGTCCCATTTTCACTTTGGGAAATACGATCACCCTAATTTTGTTTTAATCAAATATATAAGAAGCTACTTAAATGCACGGGAAGAGTTGAAAGATCAAGGATTGTATAGACTGCTGGGATTAAAAGATAAACTTTTATATCTCATTGCTGTAAGCAAAGAAGCAAACTGGAACATCTGAAGTAGAGGGAGCTCAGAACTAGTATGCTGAAAAATGAAGATATTTCTGAAACTGTATTTCAAGCTGTGTGAAAAATTAAAAGCCAAACCTCTATAGAAAATCTGTAACCCTCAACTCAGAAAACAGACCCAATTTTAAAGAAAGATTTTAAAACAACAGGACAGAGTGGGAACTCCCACCAAAAGGGCATATTAAGCCTAACTAGTCTGGTCTATTAAATTGAAAGTCAACAAGGAGTCTGCTGGCACCTTAAAGACTAACAGATTTATTTGGGCATAAGCTTTCGTGGGTAAAAACCTCACTTCTTCAGATGCATAGAGTGAAAGTTACAGATGTAGCCATTATATACTGACACATGGAGAGCAGGGAGTTACTTCGCGAGTGGAGAGCCCGTGTTGACAGGGCCAATTCAATCAGGGTGGATGTAGTCCACTCCCAATAATGGATGAGGAGGTGTCAATTCCAGGAGAGGAAAAGCTGCTTCTGTAATGAGCCAGCAACTCCCAGTCCCTATTCAAGCCCAGATTAATGGTGTTAAATTTGCAAATGAATTTTAGTTCTGCTGTTTCTCTTTGAAGTCTGTTTCTGAAGTTTTTTTGTTCAATGATAGTGACTTAAATCTGTAATAGAATGACCAGGGAGATTGAAGTGTTCACTTATTGGCTTATGCATGTTACCATTCCTGATGTCCAATTTGTGTCCATTTATTCTTTTGTGAGGGACTGTCCGGTTTGGCCAATGTACATGGCAGAGGGTCATTGCTGGCACATGATGGCATATATAACATTAGTGGATGTGCAGGTGAATGAGCCCTTGATGGTGTGGCTGATGTGGTTGGGTCCTCTGATGGTGGCTGGCTCATTACAGAAGCAGCTTTTCCTCTCCTGGAATTGACACCTCCTCATCCATTATTGGGAGTGGACTACATCCACCCTGATTGAATTGGCCCTGTCAACACTGGTTCTCCACTTGCGAAGTAACTCCCTGCTCTCCATGTGTCAGTATATAATGGCTGCATCTGTAACTTTCACTCTATGCATCCGAAGAAGTGAGGTTTTTACCCACGAAAGCTTATGCCCAAATAAATCTGTTACTCTTTAAGGTGCCACCAGACTCCTTGTTGTTTTTGTAGATACAGACTAACACGACTACCCTCTGATAAATTGAAAGTGGGATTCAAAAGGGGGTATGCTGAGGCAGAGATCACAAAAGCTGTGATCAGGGCAGTTTGCCCAGGACTGAGCCTCAGCTAATCTGAGCCTGCCAAAACAGAGGTGTATTTTAAGATCCTATTACCAGGAAAAAGGTGCAACTGAACTTTACCTGCAGCTCTCAAGAACAGCACAAGAGCCCGAAGAGACCTCAGGATTTCCTAGTCCGAGCTCTTGATTTGAGACAGGAAATATAGTTTGCTTCACAAGAATCTGACTCTGACCTAAGATATCACCCTATTCTTATACAACACAAATTTCTCTATTCAGTCCTGACAGGATTGCAGAATGGCAACATTTGGACTGTGATGCAACCTTATTTAAAAGATAATCAGGCTGCAGATGAGACCTTGTTTGAGAAGCTGCACACTGCTGTAAGGCAGAGAAACCACTGATGAGGCAGAGAAATAGCACAGGAGCATGTGCCAGGACAGTAGCATGTAATTCTGTGCAATCACGCTACACAGAAAACCAAAGTAGCACCTCCTCCTAGGGGACAAGGAGTCTCCAAACATGACCCATTTACAAATCAGAAAAAGGAACTTTAGGCGAATATTGATAAAATCAAAGGTGTGAAAGCCAAAATTAACATATTAAAGCAACCTGCCCAGGAGTAGGGCAAAATAACTGATAATGGTATTGGGGTGGGGAAGTGAGATAATCTTTTATTAGACTCACCTTCTGTTGCTGAGAGAGATAAGCTTTCCACTCACACAGCTTGAAAGCTTGATTCTTTCTCACACAGAAGTTGGTCCAATAAAAGATATTACCTCTCCTACCTTGTCTCTCTAATAAATACCCTGGGATCAACTGGGCTAAAACAAGCCTGCATACAATGAATGGTATGAGCAGACAAGCAATCCCAGAGAAGAGAATATGATAGCTCAGTGGTGGGCAAACTACGGCCCACAGGCCGGCTCCGGCCCATCAGGGCTTTGGATCCGGCCCCCGGGATTGCCCCCCGTGGCACCGTGGGTCCCGCACCGTTCTCAAAAGCGGCCGGCACCACTTCCCCACGGTCCCCGGGTGGGGGGGGGCAGAGGGCTCCGTGCGTTGTCCTTGCCTCCAGGCCCTGCCCCCCCGCAGCTCCCATTGGCCGAGAACGGGGAACCGCAGCCAATGGGAGCTTCAGGGAGGTACCTGGAGGCGCCGCAAGGGCAGCGCACACAGAGCCCTCCACCCGTCCCCCCGCCCCCAGGCCGCAGCACTTCCTGGAGCGGCGTGGGGCCGGGGACAGGGCAGGCATGCAGGAAGCCTGCCCTGGCCCCAGTGCGCGCCGCTGCCACCCCAGAGCCACTTTAGATAAGCGGCGCCGGGCTGGAGCCTGAACCTCTCCTGCACCCCACCCTCAACTCCCTGCCCTAGTCAAACACCACTGCTGAAGTTCCCCTGCAGTTAATGAGGCACCAGCACCTAGCCTCATTAACATATTGCATGGGTACTGTCTCATGTTGGCATGGCAAAAGTGGAAGCTCCTTTGAACTTCATCAGAAACAACAGTTCAGACAATCTGTACATGGTTAAAGTGGGGAGAAGGGATGTAATCACTAATGTAACATATTGGGCTCATGCAGGCCTGGATACTGAAAGTTTAACAGAAATATTTGAGCCAGATGCTGCTGCTCAGTGTCCTGAAGATTTGGACATAAAGGAAATACTAATCAAATTACCTAAAGGATCATTTTGCCAGATAAATATCCTGTGAGTAATCTATCAAAATAGGATATCATTTTGAAAAGACAAACTGCTGGGTAATTTATAGCAGATTAAATCTGAAATTCCAGTGGATACTCAGCAGATAAAATTCTTACTGGAGGCACCAGTGTCAAAAGAGAGAGTCGGTGGACCAAGGATCAAGGACTAAGGGCAAGTCCATGCTTAAAATGCTGCATCGGCATAGCTGCACCAATGCAGCTGCTCCACTGTAGGGCTTTAATGAAGATGCTCTAATTCGATGGGAGAGAGCTCTCTTGTCAATGTAGTTAATCACCTACCCGAGAGACCTTTTCTTGGTCCACCACGAGCACTCTCAGCTCACCGACTCTTCTGGCTGATATTATGGTTATTAGAAAGGCCACTTTCAAGGACAGATGGGCCACATAGCATGTGGCTAGAGGCTCAAAGGGGGGAGGGGGTTAGTGAGAGATGACGGAACAAAACTGATATTCCACTGAGGTGCAAACTTCACCAGTGGTGAACAGGATTTGAGAATCTCCTTCAGAAATCTAGTTGTAACAGGATGAGTGAATATTGTACAGTTATCCATCAGAGGATGGAAAGAGCTGATTGCTACTAAATGCGCTTGCAGAGAACTGAGCGCGAAGACTTCAGGATAAGAAGATACTCAGATAGCAGAGACCCCGGTGGATTCTGGAGATAAGTTGGGTTGGTGAGCCCAAGCGGAGAAATGCTTCCATTTTACTGAGCAACAGCTTCTTGTAGAGTCTTTGCTGCTTTGGTTAAGGATGGATTGCACCTTTTAGAACATGCGCATTCTATTTCTCATTCCCATCCAAATACCAGGCTCCAAATCGCAGAGGTCCCAGATTGGGGTGTTTAATGCAGGAAAGGGATGCAGGTCTTGACAGTCCCATCAAAAGACACTCTTCACTTGGGGTTATAATATGAAGTCATGGTGGATGTTGCCAAGGCTGTGTGCCTGGGTCTATAAACCCTCTGTCTCCTGAATGGTGGCTCCTGAGGATGTTGGTGGTAAAATGGCTGAGGAGTTGGTCTTGCCCTATACCCATCTGTTGTGTTTTCTCTTAGGGAAGGGGTGTAAATGCCCAGCGAGCAAGTGTTGTCTGGAGTCTTTGAGGGAGTGGAGAGATTCTTCCATCTTCTCACAGAATAGGTTGATAGTCTTGAAGAGCAGATCTTATATTGCACTCTGCACCCCTCTAGGGAAACCTGAGAATTGTAACCACAAGTTTCTCCTCATAACACTGACCATAGCCATCCCCCTAGATGCAGTATCTGTCACATCCACTGTGACTTGGTGGGAAGTTTTCGCCACCAATGTGCCCTCATCCACTAAAACATAGAAGTGGGCCTCCTTGGGAGCTTGCCCTTAAATTCCAAAACTTATTATAATTACAGCAGAACCTCAAAGATATAAACACCAGAGTTACAGACTGACCGGTCAACCAGACAGTATGTGAAACTGGAAGTAACTGATCAGGCAGCCGCAGAGATTTAAAAAAAAGAAAAGAAAAAAGCAAGTACTGTACCGTGCCTGTATTGCATCTTAAAAGGTAAGCACATCTGGGCTGCCTGATCCCACCCTACCTCCCCAACCCCATCCCAGGGGCAGGCGGGTTATATGGTTATACCATTGATCATATAAGAACTGTTATTTCATAAAGTATGAGTGTCTTTTGGGATTTAAGATGTTCAGAACTGATTATTCAGTTGGATAGTGGAACTAAAATTGCTGCAAACATTTTCTGCTTAATGTGAAATAAACTGAAGAAAGATACAGAAGCTTCCACCATCAGTACCAGAACTTGTGACAGAGGAATGACTCAAAGAATCACTTGAGAGTGACTGTTATGATCTTGTGCATGACTTCTAATAAGTCAAATGGATGAACTGTATTTTAAATTGTTATGTTGGGACGACATTACATTTACGGGGGTGGGGGAGGGGAGGGAAAAGAAGGGTGAGTACAGCTTTCATAAGGGAATGTCTAGGTTAGATTTACCTGTGCCCTGTCCCATTAAGGATTGAAGGTCAGCTGCTCAAGGGGTCAAAGGGAATAGCTCTGGTTGCAGCAGCTCTAAAAGGATAGCAATGCTGTGTATGCTCTAAAAGGACAGCAATGGGGTGTATGCAAGCAGGTTTTGTTTGTTTTTTTAATATACCAAGTTTAATGAAACTTCAGTTTTAAAACTGTCTCTCATCTTGGAGTATAACATTGGCAGATTTTGGGATGTGGTACAGTGTGGCAGCTAGTTATCATCAAGATTTTCTGTGATGGGAAACAAGGAATTCAACCCTCGTTTACATTGAAAATCCAGAGTCACCACCATCCCACCCCAAAAGAAGAGAGACATCCCCTCTCCCCAATGCCAAAAGTCTCAGGCACCCTAACCAAGTTTCCCTCATTTCTCCACACACATTGCAATTATGCTGCACAATGAAAGAGATGGTGAAGTGGGGGGAGCTGCATCAAATAAAATCAGTTTAAATATAAAAAATAAATTAAACAACAACACTGCATTGATTCTACTGGACATGGGGGCAGCAAAGAGGAAAAAGCTTGTGGTGGCAATGCTGAAATATTCTGGACTCCCTGCTGCAAAATTAGAGTCTAATGTGCTTCAGAAGACACAGGCATTAGCTATGGTTTAACAAAAGTTATACAAGCTTGATGATGAATGATAATTAAGGCTGCGAGTTTGTCACAGAGGTCACGGATTCCGTGACATTACGGGACCTCCATGACTTCTGCACTGGCTGGTATGGCTGTCCCGAGGGCCGACTGAGCAGCTTGGGAAGCCCCTGCGCCAGTCACACTGGCCACTGCCCCCCTGCAGCAGCAGGAGTTTAGATGTTGGAGGGGGCTCAGGGCAGGGGAGTAGGAGGGGGTGAGGGCTCTGGGCGGCACTCACCTTGGGGGGGGGCTCCCAAAAAGTGGTGACATCCCTCAGCTCTTAGGCAGAGGCGCAGCCAGACAGATCTGCGCACTACCTCCACCTGCAGGCGCCACCCCTGCAGCTCCCATTGGCTGCAGTTCTCGGCCAATGGGAGCTGTGAACCCAGTGCTATGGATGGAGGCAGCGCGCAGAGCTGCCTGGCCACACGCAGAGCTGCCTAGCCACGCGCAGAGCTGCCTAGCCACGCGCAGAGCTGCCTAGCCATGCCTCTGCTAGGAGCTGAGGGAGGGGGATGTCGTTGCTTCCGGGGAGCTGCAGAGCCAGGTAGGGAGCATGCCAACCCCTCCAACGCTCCCCACCCCAGCACGAGTGGGGGTCCCAGGCCACTCCCCGCTACCCACAGCACCAGCGATGTGCCCCCGACTCCCCGCCCAGCACCTGCAGCGTCCCCCAGCCCACCTCCCAAGATTTAGTCAGGGGCATATAGTACAAGTCATCGACAGGTCACAGGCCATGAATTTTTGTTTACTGCCCGTGACCTGTCCATGACTTTTATTAAAAATACCCATGACTAAAACATAGCCTTAATGATAACAGACAGTAGGGCATGTCCTTTATCTGGACTTCCTCAAACCCCATACCAACACTGAAGGCCACCATCCCTGTATTTCACTTAACTCATCCCCAACCTTCTCCCTCAGAAAGGTACTCTAACAATTGACAACAAACTTAAAGAGGAAAAAAAAGGGGGGGGGGAAGGTCAGCCCAGTAAGCTTCTCCAGTAGTACAATGCACAACTCCCATGAGGTACTTAATTGCCAGGGCCCAAACAGCATGAGTCTCAGAAGGTAGCCCTTAAAGCATTAGCGGCAAAGTATCTTTCACATGATAGTGCTGCACAAGAGCAACATTGTTTTGAAGAATTCGGCTAAATGGAAAACTAACATGTGAAAAGAGCCCCAGCTCCTCCGTCTCCGCTGATGCTCCCACTACACAAGATGGCCTACCTATTTATTTGCACCATTAGATTAATTTCCAAATCAAATCAAAATGTACAACACATATCAGATCATTAACTATCCCCATTACATTTACATAAAGTGGTCCTTACAAGATTAAAAACTGTTAAGATATAAATGCTGGAGCTCCTTACCTGCTGAAGCCCTTCTCTAGAAGGGATAGATGTTCTCACAATATCATTGATGGCCCACCATTGGTCAGCAAGATACAAGGCTACAGCTTGAAAGGAAAAAGATGGATATAAAAAGTTAGTGGTCTTGACATTTTGAAACTTAAGATATTCACTAAAGTTATTAAAGTTATAATAGACATCTTTTAAGCTATAGTAAGAAGCACATTAATGCATTATTTTCTTTAGTGCAAACAATGTGCTCAGTGCTGTACAGCCACAAAATGAAGTCACTCCCTGCTCTGAAGAGATGATGATTTAAAAGGACAGTAAGCAAAGAGACTAGATATGCTCGGGACCCAGAGGAGTTAATAACAGAAGAGTTATTTTTTTAAAATTTTTGGTTCAATTGTGGGCATCACAGAAAAAGCGAATCTCAACAAGGGAGATGAATGTGGAGAGGGTGGTAGGATGGTGATCAGCATGAGGTAGGCATTCTGTACTTGGGGTGGCATGGACAAATTCAGAGACAGAATTGGGAGAAGGAGACAAGTATAGCATTGAGACTGGCACAGTGGAGGACTGGAAGGTAAATGCAATATGAGATGTCAGCTGCAGCTGAGCAACGACAATGAGTCTGAACTTGATGTGGTAGACTAAAAGAGGCTTGAAGTGGTAGGCAGATCAGTGGAGGGACTCAATTACTGCTTGACAGAAGAGGAAGATAAATTTAGTAGCCTCATTTTGGATGGACTGTGGAGGATGGCTGGGTATCAAAGAAGCCAGAGAGGAGAAAATTCAAGAGAAAGTACATGGTGCATTTAATTATTATGCACATTAAATCAGGAAGGCACTGTCTTTCATTTTGTTACACATCTTCCAAATTTAATCTAGATGGTTCCGCTCCAATTGGTACAGTAATTTCACACTTATTGAGATGTGGATAAGAATCTACAACAGAAATTAACAATAATGTGAAAATGGAGGTAATGGACACTGCATTCAAGCTGAAAAAGGTAATTAGTTATTGCAAGGTAGCATGGAATGAGTAAAGGATTGGTTACATGTATTTGTCACAAAAAGCAAAATGCTACAACATTTAGATTAGAATTTTAAAATGAAACCTGTGAGCGAGTCCTCAGGTGCAAATAAAGCAAGAACTTTGTGTGTCTGATCTCCACCGTAAAGAGGAACGAAGCCTATAGTTGACAAGCTAATAGGAATCTGAAACAAGAGTTTAGAATGGTTCAATGGACTCTTGCTAATATAGCATTAGTCAAATATATAGAGCATGCTAAAGAGGACAAGCAAACCCAGTTTTCAAACTTGGGTGCTTAAAGGTGACCTGCAAACCCAAAAAAAACACACACACACCCCACTGGAGTTTGGCCCTGTTTTGCCTCTTTATAATACAGATCTTTATAAAAATGACCTCCAAAGTGCATGCATGTTGGAGGGAGGAGGTTTAAAAAGTTTTTCCTCTGTTAAAACAAAACCAAAAACAATCAAAGGAATTCACATTTTGTCTATCCTATTTTTCCTGGATGATTCTATAAATGACTGAAGAACTATTAGATTTATGACATCAGATAGACTGGGCCATTTCCTCAATTTTAATAGGCCAGCCTTAAATTTGGCCTCAGGGTACATGTACATTGCAAAATTCAACCAACCCGCAGCAGTGAGTCTTAGAGCCCGGGTCTACAGACTTGGGCTCACACTATGGCGATAAAAACAGCAGTGTAGATGTTGTCGCTCAGGCTGGATATTAGGCTCTGAAACCTGGGGGAAGTGGGTGACTTTCAGAGCCCGAGCAGCAACATCTACACTGTTGTTTTTAGCACCGTAGCACGAGCTCTGTGAGCCTGAGTCTGTAGACCCGGGCTCTGAGACTCTCTGCCACCCAATATATGTTTTTTATTTTATTTTATTTTGCAGCACAGACATACCCTAAGTGACCAGCTAGGGATTCAACTGGTTAACACCCTTCATAGCTTCTGGTCACGAGCATGATGGGGTGATCTCTGGCTGTATAACTTGTGCCAGGGAACAGTGGAATGCAAAAGTTGGCATATAGCCCCTATGTCCCTCTCTTCTCCCTACCATTAGGCCCTGCACTGAACAAAGCTCAGCCTAACATTATGATCTGATCCCAAGGAAGTGAATCTCTACCAGGGCCGGCTCTAACTTTTTTGCTGCCCCAAGCAGCAAAAAAAAGCGCCGCCCCGCGAGCCCCCCCCCCACCGCGGGAACCCCTCCCCGTCGAGCGCCACCGGAGCCCGCCCCCCCCGCCGAGCCCCGCGCCGCCCTCCCCGCCAAGCGCCGCACCGCCAGAGCGCCCCCCGCCCCCCAATGCCGCGCCGCGCTGCCCCTTACCAGGTGCCGCCCCAAGCATGTGCTTGGTAGCCCGGTGCCTGGAGCTGGCCCTGATCTCGACTGAGAGGGGAACCCAGTTTTATTTCTGTTCATATCTATTCGACTCAAAAGCTATATGAACAACTGGAAGACAAGCTGTCTTTATTAAAGAGTCAACATCTCGTCCTCAATTAAGGGCTAAAAAAGCCTCAAATACATTTTGTTGACTCTTCTAACAAAGACTTCCAGGAAACAGGAAAGAAAAAACTTCATATGCCTGATACACAAACCCAAATTGTCTTCCCTTGCAGGCCAGGTCACCTTTAAAACAGGTGAACATTTCCCACGTTTTGGTGCTAAAATAGGCACTTCAGCGTCCAAATGCTCAATTGAGCACCAAAATGCGGCATTAAGGCACCAACATATGGAGCTAGAACCACTTAGTTTTAGAAGGTTCAAAATCTTCATCAAAATGATTTTGAAGTTATTTAAATTCAAGTATTTCTAATATTTAATGAAGATATTTGAGAAAATAAATATGTATATATTAGCACTGATTGTGTGATGAACAAATGACTAGACATTCAGACTATGAGAAAGATTTACTTCCTTATAAAACAGTTTAAAGCTTATGGTATGCTATGGCTCAGAATTTTTATTTTTACGCACATAGCACTTACCATGATTAGAGAAAAGTGCCTAAAAGTCTGCTCCTGGAAAGGGATCTACAAGTGAGAACCCCTACTCTTGCTTAGAGTCCCACTGGCCTCACTTACTCTAGACTCTTTAGTTAAAATTTCACACCACTGTTACCACAGATACTAGCAAGTGGGAGTGCCAGCATAGGCAGACCCGATTTTGACCACTACATCACAGACAGGCTAAGTGATAAGGTGGATCAGATCATAAAATTCCAGCATCCGATCCCTATTAGTGCCTCCACCAGTACTGCTGCTGTGACGGCAACAGGGAAAGTTTTAGAACAAATGGCCCAATATAGACACCATTTTGGATGTCAGTGGGACTGCCTATGGGATTAAAGGTCCACCCAAGCAGATCACTTTGCAAAACTGAGGCATAAATGACCAATTAGATGCAGTAACTGCTAGCATAACTTATGCATGTACATTTCTGTGATTAATTCTAGCAAAGAGTTTGCCTGACTCACCAGTTATGATTTAAAATGAAAGAGAATTGTTCAATATACATAGATTCATCATCCAACAATCTGAGTGGCTGACACAAAGATCCCACTTGGTATAAAACAATGTGTTGTTTGGTGTTCCAAAGTACAATACAAATACAGTTTAAAAAGGATAGGAACATATAGAAAATATAATACTTATTTAAATACTCGTTTTAACACAGTAGACACAGACTTGATTTATCTGCATTTTTACTCTACGTTCAATTGCAAATAATCAAGAAATAAATTGGTTCAGATTTTTCTCTCTCTTACTTTGATGTTGCTGACAACAGACAAGAACTCTGGATTCTCTGGATCCCCACATCGAAGATCAGACATGTAGTCTTCTGCAGAACTCTCCAAGTCTTCATGACTGTAATTATCCAACATGTCCACAGGGAATGCCATCCCCCTGAAAAACTGAACATGCATATATTATTGTAGAGATACCACACAGTAAAAGCCTGAAGTTATCTTGTCCTACTAAACATAACATTAGAATGAATTTATTAACTAGCACCTCTTCTTCTCTACAGAGAAGCTGTTCAATTTTATTGGCAGCAAGGAGCATGAATCACAGCCTCATGTCAATTTGTCACAACCACCGCAAACATTGGCTTTATTTTTTATTTCCAAATGTTATTTGGGCAGAATAAAGTGATGTGTGTTCCAGCGCAATTTGGTTAATTTAATACATGCTTTCTTTCTTTTTCTATATAATGTTTACTGAGTTGCTGTTGCGTAAAGTACAATGGATGCATATAGAGCCAGATCTTTCATCACTTCACCTAACCAGAGTAAAATAGTTGTACAGAGGGTGCTGCATGGATGTTGGTGAGAACAGAATCTTCTCCACATACATGTCCATTGCTTCAGCCTCCCACAAAATGGCCTATGTATTCTACCTATGCACTGGGGAAGCAGGGAGAAGGGGATTGGCCAATGGATCCCTGTAGACATCTGTCCATGGTCTAAAGGACATGCACAGATATTGGGGGGCTTCCTTGCCTGTTTTCACCTGGCTGTTTCACTGACTGCACCAATGTCTGTTTGACAGTAACTCATCTTTGGTGCACTCAACTTCACTTCCTAGGGGTCTGTGTGTTTTCTTTTGAAGTCCGCTTCCTGAAATTGCCATTGCCTGCACCAAGGGTCGGCAACCTTTCAGAAGTGGTGTGCCGAGTCTTCATTTATTCACTCTAATTTAAGGTTTCGCGTACCAGTAATACATTTTAACGTTTTTAGAAGGTCTCTTTTTATAAGTCTATAATATAGAACTAAACTATTGTTGTTTGTGAAGTAAATAAGGTTTTAAAAATGTTTAAGAAGCTTCATTTAAAATTAAATTAAAATCCATCCTAGAATACTCAAGGAGCTAATAGAGGAGGTATCTGAGCCTCTAGTTATCACCTCTGGAAAATCATGGGAGACGGGAGAGATTCCAGAAGACTGGAAAAGGGTAAATATAGTGCCCATCTATAAAAAGGGAAATAAAAACAACCCAGGAAACTACAGACCAGTCAGTTAACTTCTGTGCCAGGGAAGATAATGGAGCAAGTGGTTAAGGAAATCATCTGCAAACACTTGGAAGGTGGTAAGGTGATAGGGAACAGCCAGCATGGATTTGTAAAGAACAAATCGTGTCAAACCAATCTGATAGCTTTCTTTGATAGGATAACGAGTCTTGTAGATAAGGGAGAAGCGGTGGATGTGGTATACCTAGACTTTAGTAAAGCATTTGATACGGTCTTGTATGATATTCTTATCGATAAACTAGGCAAATACAATTTAGAAGGAGCTACTATAAGGTGGGTGCATAACTGGCTGGATAACTGTACTCAGAGAGTTATTATTAATGGTTCCCAATCCTGCTGGAAAGGTATAACAAGTGGGGTTCCGTAGGGGTCTGTTTTGGGACCGGCTCTGTTCAATATCTTCATCAACGATTTAGATATTGGCATAGAAAGTACGCTTATTAAGTTTGCAGATGATACCAAACTGGGAGGGATTGCAACTGCTTTGGAGGACAGGGTCATAATTCAAAATGATCTGGACAAATTGGAGAAATGGTCTGAGATAAACAGGATGAAGTTTAACAAAGACAAATGCAAAGTGCTCCACTTAGGAAGGAAAAATCGGTTTCACACATACAGAATGGGAAGAGACTGTCTAGGAAGGAGTACGGCAGAAAGGGATCTAGGGGTTATAGTGGACCACAAGCTAAATACGAGTCAACAGTGTGATGCTGTTGCAAAAAAAGCAAACATGATTCTGGGATGCATTAACACGTGTGTTGGGAGCAAGACACGAGAAGTCATTCTTCCGCTCTACTCTGCACTGGTTAGGCCTCAACTGGAGTATTGTGTTCAGTTCTGGACACCGCATTTCAAGAAAGATGTGGAGAAACTGGAAAGGGTCCAGAGAAGAGCAACAAGAATGATTAAAGGTCTTGAGAACATGACCTATGAAGGAAGGCTGAAAGAATTGGGTTTGGTTAGTTTGGAAAAGAGAAGATTGAGAGGGGACATGATAGCAGTTTTCAGGTACCTAAAAGGGTGTCATAAGGAGGAGGGAGAAAACTTGTTCACCTTAGCTTCTAAGGATAGAACAAGAAGCAATAGGCTTAAACTGCAGCAAGGGAGGTCTAGGTTGGACATTAGGAAAGAGTTCCTAACTGTCAGGGTGGTTAAACACTGGAATAAATTGCCTAGGGAGGTTATGGAATCTCCATCTCTGGAGATATTTAAGAGTAGGTTAGATAAATGTCTATCAGGGATGGTCTAGACCAGGGGTCGGCAATCTTTCAGATATGATGTGCCGAGTCTTCATTTATTCACTCTAATTTAAGGTTTCGCGTGCCAGTAATACATGTTAACGTTTTTAGAAGGTCTCTATAAGTCTATAATATATAACTAAACTGTTGTTGTTTGTAAAGTAAATAAGGTTTTGAAAATGTTTAAGAAGCTTCATTTAAAATTAAATTAAAATGCAGAGCCCCCCGGACCGGTGGCTAGGACCCGGGCAGTGTGAGTGGCACTGAAAATCAGCTCGCGTGCTGCCTTCAGCGCATGTGCCATAGGTTGCCTACCCCGGCCTGCACTCTTCTGCTAGTCCCTCAACTATGGTCAATCAACACTATAGGCAGCAGCATGGCTCCTTGCCAATTGTCAATGGGAAGCCCTGCATTTAGAGGGGCTTGCTCTCCAAACAGACAGCAACAGCACCCACAGTAAGAATTTCTTTTTTTTACCGACAGTAAGAAAAAGAAAGTGATGGGCAGAGAGAAAAGGGAAGAAAAAAGAAAAGAAAAGGGAGAGAGAGAGAGAGCTCCTTCTCACTCTTTAACACTCCCTCCACTAGCCCAAGAGCACTCACCAGGGATCTCCAAGGTTCTTCCCAAGAACTCATGGCAAGAACAGGGGATAGACCGAAGAATCGCACCATCACCAGGAAAAGGCAGGTCTACATGATTGGGGACTCCTTACTGAGAAGGATAGATAAGCCAGTAACCAGAGCTAATCCAGAGAACAAAAGCGTGTGCTGTCTGCCGGGTGCTAAGATACGGGATGTGGACCTGAGGCTGAAGAGAATCCTAACGGGAGCGGGAAAGAATCCACTGATTGTCCTTCATGTGGGAACAAATGATACAGCTAGATTCTTGCTGGAACGTATCAAGGGAGACTATGCCAGGCTGTGGAAGACGCTTAAGGAAATCGAGGCTCAGGTGATCTTGAGTGGGATTCTGCCTGTTCCTAGAGAAGGGCAACAAAGGTGTGACAAAATTATGATGATCAACAGATGGCTCAGGAAGTGGTGCTATAAGGAGGGCTTTGGGATGTATGGCCACTGGGAGGCATTCATGGACAGAGGACCGTTTTCTCGGGATGGACTTCACCTGAGTAGGGAGGGAAATAGACTTCTAGGATGGAGGCTGGCACAACTGATTAAGAGAGCTTTAAACTAGGAATTTGGGGGAGATGTCCAGGTACTCTCCTCGCCGGATTTTAACACTGAGAGGGAAGAAAACGAAGTAAGAAAGGATACAGCCGTGGTAGGAGAATGGTCATAAGGAGGAAGAGTAGTGTAGATACCAGTCAAACAGGTGATACTGGCGGTAGAATGTCTGTGCCTAATCGGGTAAAGAATGTGAGCGAAGCCAAACAGCAAAAATTAAGATGTTTGTACACCAATGTGAGGAGCCTAGGTAACAAAATGGAGGAACTAGAGCTACTGGTGCAGGAAGTGAAACCAGATATTACAGGGATAACAGAAACATGGTGGAATAGTAGTCATGACTGGAATACAGGTATTGAAGGGTATGTGCTGTTTAGGAAAGACAGAAATAAAGGCAAAGGTGGTGAAGTAGCATTGTATATCAATGATGAGGTAGACTGTAAAGAAATAAGAAGTGATGGAATGGATAAGACAGAGTTTGTCTAGGCAAAAATCAAATTGGGGAAGAAAGCTCCTAGAGCCTCCCCTTGGATAGTGCTTGGAGTATGCTATAGACCACCAGGATCTGATTTGGATATGGATAGAGACCTCTTTAATGTTTTTAATGAAGTAAATACTAATGGGAATTGTGGGATCATGGGAGACTTTAACTTCCCAGATATTGACTGGAGAACAAGTGCTAGTAATAATAGGGCTCAGATTTTCCTGGGTGAGATAGCTGATGGATTCCTTCACCAAGTAGTTGCTGAACCAACAAGAGGGGATGCCATTTTAGATTTGGTTTTGGTGAGTAGTGAGGACCTCATAGAAGAACTGGTTGTAGGGGACAACCTTGGTTCGAGCGATCATGAGCTAATTCAGTTCAAACTAAATGGAAGGATAAACAAAAATAGATCTGTGACTAGGGTTTTTGATTCCAAAAGGGCTAACTTTAAAAAATTAAGGAAACTAGTTAGGGAAGTGGATTGGACTGAAGAACTTGTGGATCTAAAGAGGGAGGAGGCCTTGAATTACACCTCTACCCCGATATAATGCTGTCCTCGGGAGCCAAAAAATCTTACCGCGTTATACGTGAAACCGTGTTATATCGAACTTGCTTTGATCCGCCGGAATGCGCAGCCCTGCCCCCCCGGAGCACTCCTTTACCGCATTATATCCGAATTCGTGTTATATCAGGTCGCATTATATTGGGGTAGAGGTGTACTTCAAATCAAAGTTGCAGAAACTATCAGAAGCCTGCATCCGAAGAAAGGGGAAAAAATTCATAGGCAAGAGTTGTAGACCAAGCTGGATGAGCAGGCATCTCAGAGATTAAGAAAAGGCAGAAAGCCTACAAGTAGTGGAAGATGGGAGGGACCAGCAAGGAAAGCTACCTTATTGAGGACAGAACATGTAGGGATGAAGTGAGAAAGGCCAAAAGCCATGTAGAATTGGACCTTGCAAAGGGAATTAAAAACAATAGTAAA